TTCAAGCCTGGGTAGGGGAAATAGGGCCACTCCTGTCGCCATGACTAATAGGTTCTTAGTAGAGAACTTGGGAATATGATTCCTGTAACCTCCACATATTGTATTCATGCATGTTCCATTTTCCCTACTAAGAACCAATAGGCTGGAGGATATGTGAAGGAACCTGGCGCGAGTCGGTAGTGCGCAACCTTTATCTTTGTGAAAGGCGTTTTGTCAGACGGTTGCTCAAAAGACCAAACTCGATACTTTGGCACCTAAGGCTCAGCACCTATAATAGTCCCCCTTAAGTAAGTAGAATATGTTGTTTTTTGGTCATGGTTTTCGGGAATTCCATATCTACCTAAGGGTGACTATACGAGCGGCCTCTCCAAACATTCGAGCATATGGCCACTAACGATGTTGGCAGGAAACCGTAGGCTAAAAAAACAGTCACCAATGCTAAAGCTTCACTTCCTTGTCTCGGAAAAAAAAAAGCTTACGTGGAGTAAAAATGTATGTAGAATACTGGACTGTTGGATCATGTTTAGTGGTGTTGGGCCCTAAACCCTAAACCCTACTTTGCAAATTAGATGCCATGCAAAAAGCTGTAGCGCGACGCTGTAAAGTGAACCCTGTATCCCTGAGCATGCTGAGTTCCAGTGTAGCAGTTTAGGGTTTAGGGTTTAGGGGTTTAGGGTTTAGGGGGTTTAGGGTTTAGGGAAATTCGAGACCTTCATCCTTAATAAGACCCGAAACACTGAAACTCATCTCATATCAACCCTAAAACCTCAACCCTAAACAAAAAAAATCTAAACCCTAAACCCAACTCTCCACCCTTAAGCCCTCATCCCGGAAAACTCTCTACCATCTCTACTCATAATGTAGAGGCCTGATAAAAATGTTCAATCCAATAGTATTGTCATTCTAGCCTAAAGTACCCCATATCCTATTCAGATGCAATAGAAAGTTACATTACGCACGAAAGCCTTGCAGCACTAAACCCCAAGACCCTAAACCTCTAAGCCCTACACCCCAAACCCCCCAGGACTCCTAAACCCCTAAGCCCTTAAGCCCCTAAACCCCTATCTTTAAACCCTAAGCCCCAAACCCCTGTTCCTAAACTCTTAAAAACACCGCATCTAAGACTGTCGCCTCGACTTCGGTCGCTTAGCCCCAGGGACACCATTGGCAGTTGGGCTGCAGATTTATGTGGGCTACAGTCTAAACTCCTCAAAGGGTGGGTTTAGCGGGGGATTATTTAGGGGACTGCTATATGGCTTATTAAGGGGATACTAGGAGTTTAGACTACAGCTCATGTGGGCTTTGGGTAGAGTTTAGGTTTTAGGGCTTTGGGCATTTAGGTTCAGGCTTTGAGAATTGGAAATTGAGTGGGTTAGCGCTTTGCATCTCTGTTTTGAAGTTTAGTTTCCGCAGGTCCCCTACGTTGGTACGCACTGGCACAGCTGTAGAGGGATTCAGCAAGATGGATACCCTTAACATGCGGCTTTGTAAGGTGCGCATCGTCGCAATGCGTTGATTGACTTCTGCCCGTAGCCATGTGGCATACATCCTGGAGGAGAGTGAGGCACAGAGCAGAGAACTCCGGCCACCAGCCTACATTAACAGCCTCGCTCGCACCAAAATGCCCAGCCCCCCGCAGCTGAATCCGAAAGCCTGAAATTTCGATGCTGCAAATCTTGGAAAGGAGGTTGTTCAAGCCAAGTCAACCTGCTTCCCATCACCAAAACCGCGGACCTAACCTAACCCCATTTGACCCCCCGAGTGCCAATCTACTGAACTCCCAACACCCAACATGCTAAACTACAACCCCTTGAACCCCCAAACTGCTACCCCCTACCCCCAAGCTAACCCTCTGCAAGCCGCCAGCCTTTAAACCCTCGGCCCGAGGCCTTATCCGCAATGGTGGCAACCTCGAGGCGTCGCTGAGTCCAAGGGGCAGGCGTTTGACTCTTGACTGCGGTTTGGATAGAGGGTTATGGAGGGATGTATGTGAGTAGGGGGGTATAGAATCACAAGGGATCACAAGGGTATAGGAGCAAATCCTAAGTTATTTAAGGTAGAACGAAGTGATATACTCTAGTCTCTTGTGGTTGCTTCTGCGGTCGAAGATTCAGAGTGTAGGGTTCCTTTCCGTAAGGAAATAGCAAGCGTGCTGGTGTTGAGGGATGAGATAGATGAGACAGTCTGGCAAGATGTATGCAGAAACTCTTGAACAACACTGATCCCCCAATACGTCAGGATACGACTGTCCACACCGTGAAACAATCTCCGGAGACTGCAACTACAAAGACCTAGCTATGATTCCTATAACCCCTTATCAACTCCCATCGTACCTGACACCTAGGATGGCCCCTGGAATTCGAACGATGCCTCTAGCAATCCTTGAAGAGCAGTTTGAGAATACCCGTCTTTGTTGCACCGTTAAATTCCAAACCCGGTTTCCAGAATCTAGAAGCTTTATGTAAGACCACGCTGTGCCACCTTTTATGCCTCAAAGATTGTCGCCAACATGGCACAATAACAGCATTGGAAGGGTTTGCTTTGAAAGGCTCTAGGAATCTCAGGGTTTGAGGGACGATACGTTTTGGGGGGACCTGGGGCTGAATATGTTGTGATCAGGTCCAACATAAACTCTACCCACAGGCTCCTATAGTTCCTTTTTGGGTCTGTTATGTTTTTTGCTATTGGGATTCTCATCTATTACCCAAAAAGGAACGACATAGGAGGGCCTGGGTAGATCCACTGGACTAAGGAGCCCCTGCGGTAGCCTCCGGAGTCTCAGCAGTCGCGGGGGCTCGCAAAATCGGTTTATCCAGCCGGATGAGGAGGAGAGTTTTGGGCTCGTATCGTATATTTGTATGACCTAATCAGTGATCTGAAAGCTGTCCGTGTGGTTCTGCTTCACATATCCTGAGATCTTTCATGTGCATGCGCAGTGAGGATTCGATTTTCAGAAAATGTATGAGGCCCTCACGCCTGGGTGGGGGCTAGGGTTTCATTCGTGCCGTAGAAGTGTATGAACAAAGGATTGAAAGCTTATATTATACCCCTATATATCCTACTATAGTAGTTTCCATT